ACAAGTCCCCTGGCATTCATAGCGTCAATGGCGACCATCTGGATATGTGAGGGAAGAGCTGCGCTGAAGTTCGCGGCCCCATACACTCACATAGGCGGTGATTCGTGTTCGCCGTGTGCTTGAAGCGGTTCAAAATTGGACCGCACAGCAAAAATCTAGCTTGTAGCTCACCGAACTCGATGATGGAAGGATCGTTTGGAAAATCGCGGACCGCTAGTCTGTAGTGTATCGCAAGGGCTACAATCTCAGCTACTAACATTGTACACGAGGGGGGGTCAGCGGACGGTTAATTTGCGATGGAAGTTTCGTACTGAAGTTAAACCGAGATATGCAGGAGTTTCCAGGCGTTTCCTGTTTTTTTTAAGAGGAAGTACTGCGATCCCCCGTGCGGCCTTAAGACGCTTAACCGGTGGCACCCGACCGACCGCACCCGCCCAGGGCTTGGACAGAGTGTCGCCACTTGTTTCGCAACCAAGTGGGAAAGACTCTTTCCTTCGTTGAAGTCGTCGGTGTTGATCGCTTCTTTTTGCACCGCAATCTACGGACGCATGGCCGGGGAGGGGCATCAGGGAGATATGACTGTACAAGGTACACGTGTTTGTTTAATTTGAACCTTTAAGAACCGCGGCTGATGGGATGAACAGAATTTCTCGAACCCCGACCATTCATTGTGTTACGGGTCGGCAAAAGGCTAGATTCGAAAGTTCAACCCTGCGTGGAGGAACGAACGGGGAAATGGGGTGACGGTTCAAAGCATCCCGCTCGTGGATCTCTGTCTCCTACTTTTCCTCTTGGTTCGTTTCTTGTTTCGGTCTTTTGTGTTGTGCGGCCATTCAGAAACAGCAGTGTTTGTCAGACACACCCACAAACAACAAATACACCCCACAGGTCGCTGTGTACCTCCGCTCCTGAACATGTCAGATTGCACCTCTGCACACACTCCCGCACACACAGGCCGACCCTTTGATCACGGGCGGTACACGTGCTTAGAATCAACGTTCACCACTAGCCAAGCGCCGTCAACGACAACACCACCACCACCATCAACAACAACAGCAACCACAACCACTAGCCAAGCGCCGTCAACGACAACACCACCACGACCATCTACAACAACAGCAACCACAACCACCACCACCACCACCAACCACAACAAGCAACCACAACAAGCGACAACGACAACGACAACGACAACGACAACGACAACGACAACGACAAGAATCAACAATCATCACCACCCACGCGACGACACCGACAACACATACAACAATATTCTAACAACAGCACCACCGCCACCACCAACGACAAGGACGCACAACAAACGCCCGCACCTTGACGAAACCCGTGCGCCTGTCGAGGTTGACGTGCAGGTTCTTCACCGCCCCGTACTCGGAGAACTTGTCCATGATGTCGTCCTCCTGAGCCTCCTCGTGCACGTTGCGCACGAACAGGATCCAGCCCTCGACGCTGCGCTGTGGGCCGCCGGCGGAGCCAACGTCCACGGACTCGAAAACGCCTCCTCGACCCTCGTATCTTTGGTTGCCGCGAGAGACAGCAAGGAGGGGCCATGAAACACACATGGCGATGTGGTGAAATTTGATACTGGTGACGAGAGATTTATACATAACGGGGCGCAAGAATCTAATCCGATCGGGTAGGTGTGTAATGTAAGTTATCGCCCCGAGGGCATGTTGTTACCGACCCATGTAGCCAAGACTTAGAGACGTGCGTGTCTGCAGCCCGTCTGAGTGTCGGAACAGGACCTTGAGGTTTAGCACTTTTGGAACTGGTGCACGTCACGCACGTGTAACGAGTAGAAACCCCTTTCTTTTGGGCTTGTTCGGACGGTGTTGCTTTCAAGTAGGTATCGCGTTTGCGGAGAAGACACAACAGGTTTACAGGCTTGTGTTCTTTGGAGAAAAAAGCGGCGCGACACCTGGCGTTTCAGAGGAGGGTTAAAAAACATCGTGTTCTTCGCCCCGCCATGACAACGAAGCGCAATTCCAGCAAAAAGAAAAGGCCCAAGCTTGTGCAACAACACCGCGCCAAGCCAGTTTGACCACTCTACTGTTGGGCAAGAGGCGACTGCTGTGTCCGGCGTTGTTGGCCCCCCCTCTCTCGAGTCAAACTGCCGTCAATTATCTCGTCCTGTGGGTGATTCTTCGCCGGGACAGCGCTTACAGCACGTACAACGCAGACACACCAGACGGGGGGACCTCCCCGTGGTGTTCAATCCTTCCGAAGGGGGACACGAAGCTACGACATGAAAGTGGTGTCGAGACACGCAGCTACGGCATTGGAGATCATCAAAGACTTGGCGTACGTGCATGAATGCAGGTCGGGGGCAATGCCAACCTTCTACATACACACACAGTGTTTTGTGTTTTCAACCGCACTGAGACTGGCGTATTTTCATTGGTCAGCAGGTTAGCGCGGTCGATGCTAATAATAAAAAAACACATGTTGGGGGACCCCGCGAACTAGGAGGGAGTTTTGTGCTATTTGGCCCGCATTCAGGCTGGGGAAACGGTCCATGTGCCAGCTGGTGCGCGCAATCGAAGGCCCGGTCGATCTTTACAATTCACACCGATCACAACTACCCCAAACTAGATAAAAACCCTGCAGGAGGGTCACCGGGTGGCGTTGCAATCCGAAAATCGTCAAAACAATCCTTCGAGCCATCTCACTGCTACTAGCGTTGAACCTTGCAGCGATTTTTTCGCATCCAAAGGGATGCTGCGGCTGCGATTTCGATGAACGCCCAGCGTCGCCCTCGCCGATAGGGGGGGCGAAGACACGCTGTTATTCTTGGGAAGGGAACCCTTAGGGCGGAGATGCTGTTCTCCGAACCAGCCACGCTCTTTCGCCTGCACCGCGCTACTTGCTGCTACATCTTGACACCATCCTCTTCGGGAGTTACACCGAGATATCAGGCACAAAAAAAAACAGCTGATCGTACCGCCGTATCCACATGGAAACCGCCAACACTTTCCGATAGACCTTTTGTATAATAGGCCACCTGCCCCTGAAGGCCTTTCGCCATCCCAACCTCGACCACCCGCGTAGCGGGTGCAGTTTCAAAGATGACAATCGAAGAGGATCCACACAGGTCGGCATTCGTCGAGAACTCGTCAGTGTGTGAGACAGGCCTGTCCCGACAACAACGTAGCCCACGAAGGCACCGCCGCCGTGCGCGCAAGGCGCGCGCCGATCAACAACTTTCACCGCTCGCTATGCGCCAATGGAATTATTTTTCCTAGACGATGTTTCGGAGCTCCAGCATGATGGTAATCTCTGCTATTTAGTATTCACACGAGTTGTTGTTCGTCACAAAGCCGTTCGTTCGGTCGGTCGGTCGCCGTGGCGGCAGCGGCGCCCTCTCTCTCGTTTAGGTCGATGACGAACACAAGGGACTGGATGTGAATAATTGTCATGGCCGTACCTGTCTTCCACCTCCATCGAACCCCCCTGGTGCCCCCTTCCCTTGGCGCCGCCTTTCCTGCCCTTGCCGCCTTTTGCGGCCGCTGCGCCCCCGTTCCCCACCATCTCCTCGTCGTCTTCCCCTGCCGCCGCCTGCCCGTCTCCCCCTCCCGCCTGCCCGTTATCCGCGTCATCCATGGGTTGCTCCTCTTCGTACTCTGGCTCGAAATCGACCTCGTCCGCCATGTTTCTTGTTGTTGTTGTTGTTGCTGTTGTTGTCCCTGCTGCTCTCACAGGCACCGCTGCTGTACCTTAGATGGGAGACCGAAGAAGCGGGTAGACGATGGGGGGGGGGGGGGGGGGGTGCACTCAGTTAACTTAGTTTGAATGTCGTCCGCCTAAAACATAATTAATCCATACAAATCCAAGTCAATATACATACCAGGTACTTCCTACATCTTTTATTATGCGTAAAAACGTGCGTTTCTAATGATGAAGTCATTTTTATTTCGTTTTCTTCCTGTTTTTGGCACGAACGCACGCGACTACGAACGTGCCTAAGGCATGCTAAGGAATGCTGATCGTCATTCATTTCAGCTATTCGAAATTGTGCAACACACGAATTGTCGAGTTTTTTTGGTCATTTTTGGTCCAGTGGTGAAAAGGTGCAAGGAGGATGTGGCGACATAAGTTCAAATCCAGGCCGGCACTTCTCTTCTTTTTCAGACGAAAAAATCTGGAAGTGATCGTGACTGGCTGCGTGCGGATGGATGGGTTGAGAATAAAATTCTCTACGTACATCGTCTCCCACAAGCCAAAAACAAAAAAAAATAGTTTTCATCCCAATAATTATTAGTATTCCCGGTCGCCGTGCGTCATGGTGCACAACACACCCCTTCGAAAAGCAGCATGGACCGTGGACGAGAAAGAAAGGACGACCATGTACGATATAAATAAACCCGGGATGATGGTCCAAAGACCTTCTTGTTCTGAGAGGTACTAAACAAGAGGTGCAATTGGACGCCCTACTAGATTAAGAAAGAGCAGCACATTGTTCGCCGTACATAGTGGTGCACAGGGCACTCCCTTGAACGCAGCATAGACCCTCGACGAACAACAACGGACCGCCATGGACCATGTGAACCCCGCACGATAAAGCAAGAAAAACGTTGTACTGAGAGCAACTATAAGCCAACATGAAAACATGAAAATGATACAAGGCAGAAGGAGTAAGCTACGTGGAGGAGTGAAGATGCCTTCCGCTTCCCCTTCCCGGCGGAGGAACACGCGGAGCACCGGCGCTCGGTTCATTCCTCTCGTCGTCATCGTCGTCGTCGTCGACCAGCGTGCCGCAGTTTCGGTCAAGGTGTCCGTCGCAGGAGGTGCACGTGACCGTGGCGATGTAGCCCTCCCTCGTGCATCCCGCGTCGACGCACTTGGGGCTGACGATGAGAGGGAGGTCTTCAGAGACTCGGGGGAGTTGTCGGAAGAAGCGCGGACGAGAGCCGATAGGCGCTCCCTCACGGCGAGGGCAGACGGAATGGGGCAACCGGGCGGGGGGGCGTGCTCTCGGTCGGTGTCGGCATCGAGACGGGGGGGAAACGAAACACGTC